AGATTTATTAACGGTGAACAGAATTGTGGGAGAAAGAATTAATTGTTTAGGTGGATACTGAAAAAGTAATTCGACATTACATGTTTAATGTTATATCAGGGATAAGCGGAGTTTGAATCGCAAGGCCTAATTTAGACTTCAAGCTGGAACTATTCCTTACTTAGCCTTTACTTAGCCTAGACCTGATTTAAACATAACCTATATTTTCAATGTCTAAGACTTTTTAAAAACTGTTCTCGAAAATTATAAACTTTCGAACATTCTAAACAGATTTAATGCTGGCTTAATCCAGACTTAAATACATCCCTAACATAGACCTAAGTTAGAACGAATTTAGTCCTCGCATATGTCTAAGTTATATTTACAACGTTCGATGCGTTTAAAAAGAACCATTCACAGAAATAACAATCTCGCGAACGCTATAACTCACAAGTATAGACCTAACCCTGACCTAACCCTGACGCAGACCTGATTTGGAACGAATTTAGGCCAAATATAAGTCTAAGTTATGCTTGCAACGTTCGAAGCGTTTAGATGGAACCATTCGCTAAAATAACAAACTTGCGAACGTTGTAACTTAGAAGTATAGACCAAACCGTGACCTAACTCTAAAGCAGACCTAACGCAGACCTAATTTAGAACAAAATTAAATCTAACAGAAGTACAAGCAATCCTTACAACATTCGAAGCGTTTATAAGGAACCATTCACGAAAATAACAATCTTGCGAACAGTGTAACTTACAAGTATGGACTTAACCCTGACCTAACCCTAACGTAGACCCAATTTAGAACGAACTTAATTCTAACATAATTCTAAGCTGTAGCATTATTATTTAACGTCATAACTTACGAATATAGATCGAAGTCTTGATCTGATCAAGATTAGGTCTACATTAGATCGAGGTTAGGTCTGCGTTAGGTTCACAGTTTTCCGCGAATATCTCGAAAACTAAAGCCGAACGGCGATAACACACATATAGAAAAGTTGCTCAAAATATCATCCCTGATAACATACTTCGAGGTCGCGAAAATCGGCGCCACTAAAAACATTTATGCAAAAATAAATTAAAAGAAAAAAGATAAACACGATCTATTCCCGGTTTACTCGTGAGCGTAAAGTAAATAAACCTTTCGGTTTCATGCCGCTTCTATTGATCAAGTCGCGATCAGATACTGTATCTCGCGATCAGACAGCGTATCTCGCGATTTGCTCCAAATAGCGAACTGCATTCTAAGGTAACACGGTCTGAATATTGTTGCTGGTCGGTCTTGAGAGCGGCGGGAAAACGTAATCGGTCGAGTGGCTCCGATCCCATACGAACGGCCCTCCCGAGTGAGAGTTACGACGCTGGTAGAACAGCGCGGAACGCGTTCCGCGTTTATCTCAGCCGATGCTGGCACGGTTGCGCAACACTTTTGTTCGGAATCCGTACGGAGGCTCTACTAGAAAGTTACCGGCCCGCCGTCGATCGCGACCGATCCGCTCGCAACGCCGATACGCGGTGCCCGTTGGCCCGCGATGCTTCGCCGGTTGATCTTGAAACGACTGTTTTCGATGCCCGATAGCAATGGGTGCCACGAAAATCATCGCCGACGCTCGGAAAACGCGACGAACGAAACGGACGTACGGGTTTCAAATCGCGATCACTGAATTTAATCGGCAACGCGACCGCGGCGAACCGATATCCCGTAGTTATTGGTCTGGGGAGCGATAATTTCTAGACAAAAGTGAATTTATGGGCTTTTATGTTTGTAGACAAATTTTTCGCGACGAATGAGGACAACTCGGAGCCTCGAAATTCAAAACAAATATAATCTGAGTACAATTTGAGCGTCAATTAGGAAGAATTATATATATAATTATAATATTTATTATATATAATAATATTATATTATAACTATATTATAATATATATTACATTATATTATAATTATAATATTTATTTTATATGATAATATTGTATTATAACTATATTATAATATATATTATATTATATTATAATTATAATTACTTTTCTGTTTTTTCTTTTTTTTTTAATTGCTTACGTATAAATAAAGGACTCTAGATCACGATTACGTCACGAAGAAAAAAAGTACTGACTTTCCGATTTTTTTCCATCGCTCGCATCGCTGCGTTTGGGCGAAACTGGTCGGCGACTTTTTTCGGCGAGATAAAAGGACGGCCGGCCGTGTAACAGGACAATTCAATTTACGGACAGGCGAGAAGAGTTCCGCGATCTCCTGAAATGGAATCTGATTTCTAACGGCTTTTCACTGACCGCGCGCGCTCTCTCGGTCGAACACGCGGCCGGCGCGACACGCTTGCGGCGCGACGCTGTCCGAGCCGTTTTTCTGTCCGCGTCCGGGAAAAGAACGCGGCACGCAGTCGTTTTGTACGCGGCCGGCAGAACCGGTGGCCTCGGCGAACCGTTGCGTCCTCTCCGCGGAGTTTAGCCGTTTCCTCTCCGGCCCACTCGTCTGCGGTCTGGCCGCCGCATTTTTCCGGCAGCGCGGACGCCACGGTGCCCGTGTCCGAGCAAGAAACTTGCGGCTGCTTATTATAGAAGTCCCCTGAACTCTCGTATCGTTATCTGGCATTCCCTTCTCCTTGTTTGGAGGCAGGAGACATCGACGGAGACCGCGGCCGATGCTATTTCGCACCGTTTTCTTGGACGAACGTGGCCGAGCATCGGGCGCCATTTTGTTCGCGCCTGCGACGTTCTTGTGAATCGATGGAAATCGACGAAATGCACATAAAAGTGTTTATTAATGTTTATATAACTTTTTTTTGGAATGCGTTTACACGTAATTAAAGAACATTTGCTAGTCTTCGAAACTTTACAGGAGTGAATAAAAACGAATCTCTTTTTCTTTAAGTAAATATATATATATAATTTAATATAATATATAATATAATATTTATAATATGTTGACAAATGACTTCCTTACAGTTGCGGTATGAAATGCGTAAATGCTCTATTATTGAATATATATACATTGTAAAAAAATAAATAAATATGTTAACACTCGGAACGAGGCGATTCCTGAGGCCATTTGCAGTAACTTTTTCCTTTACGAAAATGTTCTACGAGGCTCCGTTTACGAGATATTAACGAAAAACACTGACCAATCGGAGGGCGTTCCGATGACCGGCGCTCCGCCCGCTGGGGCGCTGCCGCGTCACGCCGGACGGGGCGTCAGCCGTACGCGATTTTTCATTGGTCGTTGTTTTACGTTAATATCTCGTAAACGCAGCCTCGTAGAACATTTTCGCAAAGGAAAAAGTTGCTTCAAATGACTCGAGGAATCTTTTCCGCGTGTTCACATAATTATGGAACACCCTGTGTAATGAAGAAGGACGTTGACAAACTGAGTACAGAAAGATCAAAGAAGATAGAAACTGGAGAAGGAAATGTTCTTTTTAAGAAAAATAAAAGCGGAACTCTGGTTGCGAGTGCAACAAGTATTGCAAAGGAATTGCGAGAATTCACGGGAACGTTGGCAACACCGAGGTATTCCTGCTTTCCCAACCGTCGATTATGCTACACTTTTATTTCTACGGTGCCGCGAACTATGCGGCCCGCGAAAGGTTATTTCGTTCCCAGTCGGTAATTCCACGTGTTACATTATAGTAATCGCGATGCTACTCGTCCCAACGACCACGGGCCAGCGAAGTAGCACGGCACACCTCGCGGCCGAGGCACGTCCGTCCCGAGGACCGGAAGTGAACGGAATCGCGGCCGACTATAACACAGCGAGCATTGATAAAGGAAAACTTTTCTTGAGTCGCGTCGCTTCGATTTGCTCCTAATGAAAGTTGCCGGGAGGTCGGCGCACCGTTGCCCGCTGCGCCGGCTCTTCCATTTTCAGTTTCCACTGTCGTAATCCCTTCCCTGATGCAACAGCAGTCGACGCCTGGCGTCCGGTACCATGCGTGCAGAGGCGTAAATGCACGCCATTATAATTTTTAATGAGACCGAGGTTCGATGGACGGCTGAATGGAGAAGAAAGTGCGCGGTTTATTTTATGGCGTTGACGCACGAATCATTGGGACAGTTCATAGTTAGGTTTAAGTGGTACCTTGAGACAATTAAGAGTATCCGCCATCTTGGTACGCCACGCTAGTGTCGTAATCTATCGTTAAATTGCAGTATTAAGCAGACCCTTGGGCTATTCCAGCGGTTTATTGTGTCGATTATTTTATAATGGTCTAAAGTTTGACATTTTGGAGAACGTACAGACGTGGATTGAATGTTTAGGAAACGTTATTGATGATTCACGAATCTCTTGTTGCGAAAATGAAGCATCAAAATATCTAGAACGGAACACTTGCGAGTTCAGTAATGTCTCCCTTACTGACGCTCATATTGTCCACTAAAATGGACAATTTGGGAAGAGGAGATACGATTATTCGAGCCTTGCGGCTCGTTTTTATAATTGTGGACAATTTATAACTATGAAAATAAACCGCAAGGCTCGAATAATCGTATCTCCTCTTCCCAAATTGTCCATTTTTGTGGTCAATCTGGGCGTCAATTAGAGAGACATTACTGTAGCTTGAAACGTTTGCAAAGACACGCGATCAAAAAAGTGATGTAGAGTTCCAAGCAGCTAATTAACAATTTGACATTTTGGAGAACGTACAGACATTGACTGGACTTCTAGAAAATACTGTGCTCCACTCCCAAATTGCTCGTTGCAACAGCGTAGCGTCAAAACGTCTAGAACGGAACACTTGCGAGTACAGTAATGTCTCCCTTACTGACGCTCATATTGTCCACTAAAATGGACAATTTGGGAAGAGGAGATACGATTATTCGAGCCTTGCGGCTCGTTTATTATAATTGTGGACAATTTATAACTATGAAAATAAACCGCAAGGCTCGAATAATCGTATCTCCTCTTGCCAAATTGTCCATTTTTGTGGTCAATCTGGGCGTCAATTCGAGAGACATTATTGTAGCCAAGTAACAACTTCGAAACGATGTTTCCCTGGCAGGTGACGATGTGGACGCTTCTGCTGCTCACGCTCTTCCTATCGCCTCCGTCATGGGGTCAGGTGATCAACCGTGCCCCGCATTTCGTGCAAGGTGGCGACATGGCCAGGCTGGCGGTGTCGGAGGGCACGCCGCCGGGCGCTCCCGTCTACAAGCTGCAGGGTGAGGACCCTGAGGCCTCCAAGCTGCACTACTCCATCAGCGGGGAGTACTTCACGGTGAATCGTGACACCGGCGTCGTCGTTCTCCGAAAGCCGCTGGACAGGGAGACGCAAGACCTGATCGAAGTGATCATCAGCATAACGGGTAACTATGCCGGCTTCATCGCGGCTGTACCGTTACGCCGCTGCGCCGGAATATCAATGGGCAATCGCGCGTACATCTAGGCCAATAGACGAATTCAACACGGCGGTATCGTTCGCGGAAGAACGGTGCTCGTCGGACCGCGTTCACGAAACACGTTCACGGAACGCCGACTTCTCCGTCCCTAATGACCGAGACGACCATAATCGACATGGCTGAATTTCCTCGTTCTATCGTGAAAATATAGATTCCATTTGAGCGAAAAAGAATCGTCGATTTTACTCGTAAAAGTACCAGCACGCGATTGGTCATGCTACAGTAGCCTTAAAATGACCTTGATATAACCTTGGGAGAGCACAGCGGGTTCTGAAAGTGGATGCTCTAAGGGATGAGGGGAGAAGTAGACATTTAGGCGGGCAACGCTGTAATTGGCGACATCTTTTCCAGACGAAGGGATCGCCGGATCGGAGCCGAATACTGTGTCCCTTCGCCGCGAGATCGCCGTGCTGGACGAGAACGACAACCCGCCGGTCTACCACGGCAGGCCGTACGCGGCCAGGGTGCCCGAAAGCGCGCACGTGGGTGGCCTGTTGGTTCCGCCTGGCACGATCACGATCACCGACCTGGACGGCGGCGTGAACGCGGACATCCACGTGGAGTGCGTCTCCGCGTCGCGGGACGACGACGTCTGCGATGTCTTCGATGTCCTCGCCGAGAAGGTGACCACTTTTGTCTTCGCGATTTCGTTTTGTTGTGTTGAACGATTTTGGCGGAATATTTTTAGACATCCGATCAAACAGAATTTATTTTATGCTATGCTCGCGCAATAGCACCATGGCGTACTAATTATGTTCCATAATTATGTTATCAGGAAGGAGGTGATTCCTGAGGTCATTTGGAGCAACTTTTTCCTTTGCGAAAAAGTTCTACGAGGCTCCGTTCACGAGTTGTTAACGAAAAACACTGACCAATCGGAGAGCGAGCGCGGCCGGCGCTCCGCCCGCGAGGGCGCGGCCTCATCGTGCCGGCCGTCTGCGGAGCGGCAGTGGCAGGGTGGGCGGGACGCCTGCCGCACGCGATCTCTCATTGGTCAGAGTTTTTCGTTTATATCTCGTAAACGGAGCCTCGTGGAACATTTTCGCAAAGGAGAAAGTTGCTGCAAATGACCTGAGGAATCATCTCCTGTCGGGAATTCAGATAATTATGGAACACGTCGTAGTATCGTAGCGCGGAACAGTAAATTCTCCCTAATTGACGCTTGGCTTGAAAACTAAAACAATTTGGGAAGAAGACGTACAATTAAGCCTCACCTGGCGGCCGATTTTTATAGTTGTTGACAATCGGTAACTATACAAATAATAACAATCATATATAACGATTACATACCACAAAATATAAAATATAATAGAAATAATCGTCTCTCCTCTTCCAAAATCGTCCATTTTCGTTTCCAAGCTGAATTAGGGAGTACTTACTACGACATCGTACCATCGCAGTGCCAATCGTTCGCTACGTTTAAGCAATGCTTCTCGGAGGCAAATCGCCGGCGCGTCTCGCTGACCCAAACTGCTTCTTGTCCAGCTGGCAGAGGGGAGGTACGACGTGCAGATCACGCTGGCGAAGCCGCTCGATTACGAGCGGAGGAATTCGTACCTGATCAATCTGCTGGCGGTGGACGGTGCCAGCGACGCGGCCAAGGTGCTGCAGGCTAGAGCCACTGTGGCCGTCGACGTTCTCGACGTTCAGGTAAGTGGGTCTTGACCGTGGCCGGAGGTAACTGTACATCCATCTCCCGATCGGCCTGTATCGGTTAACGAGAGACGGCGTATGCTAAAACCGGCCGGAAAATGCTGCGTTACCCGGTGACTCCGTTACCGAGCGCGTCGCACTTTCACCGAGCCCCGCGAGCCGCCGCGCCGTCCCCGCGCGCCCCGCGAGGTCGCGGAGCAACGGCTGCCGCGAAATTGATCCCGCGAATCTTCCCGAGCAACGGGACACGGGACTGCCGAACGGGGCCCGATGATTCGCGAGGTCGTTTCGGGCCCAAGCGGGCCCAAACCGACCCAAGTGAATCCAAGCCGACCCAAGCGGACCCAAGCTGGCCGAAGCAGGACAGTTGCGAGAAATGTCGTTTTCAGGATCAGCCGCCCGTGTTCCTGAACGCGCCGTACAGCGCGGCGTTGCCGGAGAACACGCCGACCGGCCACACGGTCCTGACGGTGAGGGCCCGTGACGGCGACACCGGCGAGCCGAGGAACCTGCTGCTCGCCCTCGAGGAGGACGAGAAGGGCCACTTCGACCTGGAGGTGTCGCGGGAAGGTGACGTCACCGTCGGCAAACTGGTCACCGCTAACGTCTCCCTCGACAGGGAGGACCCAAAGATTCTGCAGAATGGGGGCATCTACACGTTCCAAGTGAAGGCCACCGAGCTCATCAACAACGAGATACCAGCGGACACGGCGACCTCGATCGTCACCATCGTTGTCACCGACGTGGATGATCAGATGCCCGTTTTCAACGAGAACGCATTCGACGTCATGATCTCGGAGGACATCGGGCTGGACACCCCGTTGCCAGGTGGGCCTTGATAGGATCTAAGAGGACGGTTTTAGCGTTGCCTGGTCTGATTCGCGGTTGCAGTTATCCTAATTGACGTTTAACCTTAATCTCCATCATTGACGCTTACCTTAAGTATCCCTAATTGACGTTTGGAAACAAAAATGGACAATTTGGGAAGAGGAGGTTCAATTATCCCAGCCTTGCGGCTCGTTATTGTAGCTATCGATTGTCAATGTTATTTGATTTTAATTTTATTTAATTTTATATGATTTTATTTCAATTTTATTTCAATTTTATTTAATTCTATATAATTTTATTTTTATTTTATTTAATTCTATATAATTTTATTTTTATTTTATTTAATTCTATTTAATTTTATTTTTATTTAATTTAATTTTATATAGTTTTATTTTAATTATAAAATAGGCCGCAAGGCTCGAATAATCGTATCTTTCCTTCTCAAATTGTCCATTTTTATGTGCAATCTGAGCGTTAATTAGGGAGAATTTACTGTAATGTTAAAGTTGCTAATGAAAGGGTCAGAAAGACGTGCTGGATTGCGGCGCGAGGCATCGCGCAGCAGGAAGTGGGGGCATGCCACACACGGCTGGAAGTGGGTGGTGCCCTGGGCGGTGCCTCGCGCGGAAGGAAGTGGGGGTTGCCCCGCGCGGCCGAAAGTGGGCGGTGCCTCGGGCGGCAGGAAGTGGTAGGTGCCTCGTGTGGCAGGAAGTGGGAGGTGCCTCGCTGCGTAATCCAGCGCGTCTTTCTGACATTCTATTAGCAACTTCAACATGAATTATCTCGAAAACTATGAGCCGTCTGCCCCAAAACCTGGGTATTATTGGATTCAGCTTTTCAAGCTCACCATACCGAATCTCATCAAAATGTGAGCGTCAATCCTGCGGACCTCCCCTTATAAGTATTGCTCCTCTTGCTCCCTTTGGCGTTCTAAAATCTCGCAGGCCTTCTTCTCAGCTCCTAATAGTACTCTAATCCTTGTATTTAACTAAAAGACGAATACGTACAACTTTTGTTCAATTGGCAGGTCTGAATGTGATCGTGAGCGACGGCGACGTCGGCGAGAACGCCAGGTACGCGTTAGCTCTGAGGGACGTGCCAGGTTACCCTGGAATTAGCGACGCATTCACCGTTAGCCCGAAGGAAGCCCAAGGCAGGGTTCCCGTTGTGATCAAAGCGAGGAACGTCGAGGTGCTGGACTACGACGTGGACGACCCTGCGAAGAGAGAACTCGAATTCGACGTTGTCGCGCTCGTCGGGAACGAAGCGGTACTCATTTCTTAGCGAATTTCTCCTTTACGCTATGGTGACTCAGGCGTTGGGCGACTACCATAGATGATGCGGTAGTAATTTCTTCCGAAATGACTCAGGGACGGAATTGTAACCGCAGGTATAAGAATACTGAGTCGCGATTCTTCGAAGGCAGTGGCTAGCATGCTAGGATAAAGCTGATGGCGTAACTTTTTTATTTATAATTTTTTATCCACGAAAATTTTTCCAATTAAAATGATACCAAACATGACATGCTTTAGATCGTATTTATTTATTATGCATTTTTTTATTTACGAAAAAAGCATCAACCAATTGTTAATATATGAAATATTAAAGGCAACGTCAAAGAATGTATGTGTGCCGTTTGAAAGAAAATATCAGCGAAGTTAGGCTATTTGAGCCTGCGTTCGACTGTCATTTGGAGAAGACCTGGCTCGATTCGACGACATTCGGAGAAGACTTGGCTCGATTCGATGACATTTGGAGAAGACTTGGCTCGACTCGACATTTCGAGAAGACTTGGCTCAACTTGATGACATTTGGAGAAGACTTGGCTCGATTCGACGACATTTGGAGAATACATGGCTCCATTCGACGACATTCGGAGAAGTCTTGGCTCGATTCGACGACATTTGGAGAAGACGTGGCTCTATTTGATGACATTCAAAGGAGACTTGGCTCGATTCGACGACATTTGAAGAAGACCTGACTTGATTTGACGATATTTGGAGAAGACCTGGCATGACTCAACGACATTCGGATAATTTATAGCTCGATTTGACGCCATTCGGAGGACGAGCCTACTCGATCGGACAGCGCCGATTAATCAGAAACATTTCTCCGAACTACATCATGTTTGGTCTCATTTTAACCAGAAAACTGTCAGCAATATTTTGAAAAGAAAATCAATTTAAAAATATTAAAATCCAAAAAAGTTATATCACCGTATCATGAATTGTCTTCCGGAAATTCAGAGTCAAAGAAGCCACGTCGCTTACCGTGTCACCTACCCCGTCAAACCTTGGCATAGGCGTAGCAAAAAAAATCAATAAATTACAGGGCCGTAGCAATATCAAGGCACCATTCATGGCACACCGAGATTGTCATTTAGAGTGAAATTACTGCACCCAGTCAGAAATTGAAGGCTATAGTCATCAATGGTCCCCAGCCAGCGTCACTCGTTGAGTCACCATAGTCACCTATGTCCTACCTAGTCGCCTAGGGGAGGGGATAAGGGGTCACAGATTACTAAAAAATCTCATCAGTATAGATCATTCGCCATAATACTAACTTTCAGGTAGCCACGTGCCGAGTCCACATCCGCCTGGTGGACGCGAACGACCACAGCCCGAAGTTCACGCACCCGTTCTACGAGTTCTCGGTGCCCGAGGACGCCGAGATAGGGAGCAAACTGGGCGACGTGGTGGCGAATGACCGCGACAGCGGCTCCTTCGGCGAGCTATCGTACGCGCTGCGAGGTTTCGGCGCCGACAAGTTCAAGACGGACCCGAAGACCGGCGGCGTGTTCGTCGGCAAGCCGTTGGACTACGAGTCGAAGAGGCTGTACTTCCCGACGATGGAGGCCACTGACGGAGGCGGGAAGGTGTCCGTCGCCGGCATCTTCATAGACCTGGTGGACGTGAACGACAACAAGCCAGTCTTCGAGCAGTCCACGTTCTCCAGAACGGTCAGGGAGGACGCGACCAGTTTCGATCCGCAGATGTTCGTCAGGGCGACGGACGCCGACGGGCCCAGCCAGGGGAACGGCAAGGTGACCTACTCGATCAGTTCGCACAACAGCGTGACGGACGATGTCTTCAAGGTGATTGGAACGACGCTGTCTTCGAAGACCCCACGTGGTATATTTATTATTTACTCACTTATGAGATCTCCCCTCTCGCAGATAAATCCGGACACCGGCGAGGTGACGATGTCGAAGCCGGTCCGCTCCGGGGACACCGAGAGAGGCATTTACGAGCTGAAGATTCGCGCCACGGACGCGGGAACGCCGCCACTGTTCTCCGAGGCGGAGCTCCTGGTCCGAGTCGGCGTGCCCGGGAATCAGAAGCCCATATTCCGTGGGAATTACAAGTCGAATCTTCCCGGGCCGAACAGCTATCGCGCGAGGCTCTTGGAGAACGCTTCGCCCGGAACGGAAGTGATCAGAGTGGTGGCGAACGATCCCGATGGACGTGACAATCTGTTGCAGTATCACATCGCGTCCGGTGCTAAAGACAACTTCGTTATAAACTCTAGGTACCTTAGACACGTTCCGGTCGGTGTTGCGCGCGCGCAAACGACACGATTACGAACGTTCGACGATTCCCGTGACGATATATGGACTTGTATGGTTCTAGCTCTGGTGTGATTACTGTGTCTCCAGATGCCCGTCTGGATCTGGAAACCGGCGGCGAGAAATACGAAGTGATCGTTTATGCCGTAGACTCCGGCACGCCTGTCAGGGAAACCGCCTCCACCACCGTCACCGTGAACATCATCGATGTGAACAACAAGCCGCCGGTGTTCAACGTGTCGACGTATCTTGTTTACGTGTCCGAGAGAGCTGGCATTGGTAAGATATCGATCCGCTGGTACGGTAAAGTCTTCTTAGTTATAATAAATATTTATTTTGTAATAAAATGGGCCGCAGAATCAAATACTAAAAAATCTAATCAAAGTAAAATTAAAATAAATTATATAAATACTAAATAAATAATCAATTAAATAAAATTGAATAAAAATGAATAGAATCGAATAGAATCGAATAGAATCGAATAGAATCGAATAGAATCGAATAGAATCGAATAGAATTGAATGGAATTGAATAAAATTGAGTAGAATTGAATAGAATTGAATAAAAGTGAATAGAATCGAATGGAATCGAATAAAATCGAATAAAATTGAGTAAAACTGAATAGAATCGAATAAAATTGAAATAAAATTGAAATAAAATTGAAATAAAATTGAAATAAAATTGAAATAAAATTGAAATAAAATTGAAATAAAATTGAAATAAAATTGAAATAAAATTGAAATAAAATTGAAATAAAATTGAAATAAAATTGAAATAAAATTGAAATAAAATTGAAATAAAATTGAAATAAAATTGAAATAAAATTGAAATAAAATTGAAATAAAATTGAAATAAAATTGAAATAAAATTGAACAAAATCGAACAAAATCGAACAAAATCGAACAAAATCGAATAAAATCGATATTGAATAAAATTGAATACAATTGAATATAATTATTAAACAGGCGAGCCTGTCCTGAAGGTGGCGGCTACCGACCCCGACTCTGACGCCATCTTAGAATACTCCTTGGTGGAGCCGATAAAGGCTGTCGATAAAACCGGCGTGGCACTGAAGAGCACCGCGTCCTACGACTACAAGACGGCTTTCCGTATCAATTCAACTACCGGTCAGATAACGGTGAACCGCGTCCTTGACTACCAAGTGGCAGCGGTGATCATCCTGACCGTTCAAGCCCGGGACTCGAACGCCGTCGTCAACAAGGAGAAGCAGTTCGCGAGGGTCGAAGTGACGATCTACATACAAGCGTACAGCGACGACAATCCGACGTTCTCCAACACCGGGTGGTCCCCTAACAACCCCGTGATCAGGATTTCGGTGCCGGAAGAACAACCGCTCGGCACGACCTTGTTGATGCTGTCGGCCAAAGAGCCCACCACTGGCTACGCTGTGCAGAGGTTCGAGCTGGTCAGGGACGACAACGACGAGGGATACGTCAACGTCGGTGTTCAGAGCGGGAACGTTGTCCTCAGCAGGATATTGGACTACGAGGCGCTAGTTCGGAAGGTATTGTCGAGATCTGGTGGCGATGAGACCTAGATGACCTAGAAAGAGGACGTGGTTCCTTTTAGGTGATTTTGAAGGTATTGACGAGCGTAGCCGTACAGGGTGTAAAAAATGTTACGTTATGGCTGTCGTAGACGTATTCTATGACTTCAGGTCGATGGGATCTCTTAAAAAAAAACTTTTCGCAGGAGTGACCTTAATCACATTTTTCAAGGTCAAGCCTTTTTATAATGGCACCCTGCTGTACTCGTCGAGAGGAGCGAACTTTCGAAAGGAACCACATGGCCCAGAGCAATCATTTTGGTATCACCTTGACCTTGACTTTTAGTAGAAAAACAATAACTTTCTTTGTTCAGTTACTGAAATTACTGAAATCAGGGTCATAGTATAGCAGGTCGGTTGAATTCATTATTTCATTAGCAATAGCCCTAAAAAGTAAAAAATACAGGGTGCTGTTTAAAATAGTCAGGGCGACCTTAGCTTTCAGTGGAAAAACAATACTTCTTGAAATTTGTTATTTTTCAATATGTAACCGACGAAATACTAATTAACTTTCGTTCGAAATATTTCTTTCTCGGCTAGTATATAAATTACTGCAAATAGAATTCAATCGACGAACGTTCAAAGTTAAATTACACCAAAACCGTTGCTCTGAGACATATGGTTCCGTTTGCAAGTTTGCTCCTCTCGACGAGTAGAACAGGATGCCATCGTAAAAAATGTTTGACCTTGAAAACCACGGCCAAGGTCACTCCCGCGAAAAGCTTCTTTTCAACAAATCTCCATCGACCCAATGGTGTAGAATACATCTACGATCCTTTTTTCACGTCCTGTACAGATTAAAACGTATAATTCCTCTAGACATCCGATGATTCCACATCCATCAGAGTCCCGAATGACGACTGACTCGATTTGGCCTAGACAGTCCCCCTTAAAGACCTTATCCTTCCAGTCGATCCGGTTCAAAGTGCGCGCGCTGGCCAGGGACTACGAGATCACGCGCAAGATGTCCGAGGCGAACGTGATCGTCGAGGTGCAGGACACGAACGACAACAGCCCGATATTCACGCAGGACGACTACAAGATCTCCGTCCTGGAGTCCGCGAAGCCGGGTAAGACGGTGCTTACCGTGAAAGCGACGGACATGGACAGCTCGGTGACGGAGCAAGAGATCGAGCGCGGCTACGGCGAGGTCAGGTACTCCATCACCGGCGAGAACGCGAACATGTTCGAGGTCGATCCGACGAGTGGCAGCATTCAGGTGAGCTATTCCGCGCGCCTAAACCTCTTCAATAAACCTAACATCCGGCCGAATGTCCACAGATAAACGTGAACACGAGCCTGGACAGGGAGAAGCAGTCGGTGCTGCGGTTCTACGCGGTGGCCTCGGATATGCCGCAGGGTGGCGCCGAGCAGCGCAGCACCAGGGCCCTGGTGACCATCGACGTGCTGGACGTGAACGACAACGCGCCGACCTTCGAGCAGGAGGCGTACACAGCTGTGATACCAGAAAACGCCCCGCCACGTGTCAGCGTGGTGAACATCACCGCGACGGACCCGGACGAGGGCGAGGGCGGGGTGATACACTTCGAGATCATCGACGAGGGCGAGGCGAATGGTGAGTAGCCCGACTGAAGACCTGATCCAGGATCCTGACCAACGCCAACGCGTTCGCAGGACTCTTCAAGATAAACCACACGACCGGCGAGATCTTCTCCGGCAAGGCGTTGACGGGGAAGGGCAGGACGGAGCCGTACATCATGAGGATCAGGGCGCAGGACGGCGGTGAGCCGGAGCTGTACACCGACGTGATTCTGACGCTGTACATAGGCGACGTGGTCAGCAACGACGGGGTGCCGTTGTTCATCAGGCCAACGTTCGAGGAGGTGGCCCACATAGCCGAGAACTCTACCCTAGGCAGCCCGGTGTTCCAGGTGGTGGCCTCGGACCCGGACGACCCGAATCTGCCGAACGGCAAGATCACCTTCAAGTTCCTGGAGGACGGGAACTTCGGCAAGGACGCCAGCGCCTTCAGGATCAACGCCGAGACCGGACTGATCACCACCAGGAAGCTGCTGGACCGCGAGCTGAAGGACAGCTACACGCTGATCCTGGTGGCCCAGGACCTCGGAAGCCCGCCCCAGCAAGCGACCAGGGTGCTGCAGGTGATCGTGGACGACATAGACGACCACAAGCCGCGCTTCAAGAGGAACCTGGACAGCCCGCCCATCGAGCTGACGATCTACGAGGAGACGCCGCCTGGCACCAGGGTGGGGCTGATCGAGGCCATCGACGAGGACATCGGAGAGAACGGGAAGATCGACTACGCCATCGTCTACGGGAACGAGGCGTGGCTGTTCGTCGTTGAACGCCTGGAGAACAACTCGGCCGTGATCAGGTCCAACGACCGTCTGGACCGCGAGTCCATGGACCGTCATTTGCTGACCGTAAAGTGCTTCCCGTATTCAACGAAGAGGTCCAACATCATCCCGAAGCCGTACAACCGGCAGGACCCGTCGCAGAGGCAGGTTCTGATCAGGGTGCTCGACATCGACGACAACAAGCCCACCTTCAGGAAGCAGAACGTCACACTGGGCGTCCGGCTGAACGTCCCGATAGACACCAGCTTGATCACCTTCGAGGCCTTCGACGCGGACTCCGACGCCCTGCCCATCAGGTACAGCATGAGCAAGGCGTCCTTCGCGTCCCTCGTCGACCCCTCCATGTCCAGGCGGGAGATCCCCTCGCAGCTGGCCCTGAACCAGCAGTCCGGAGAGCTGAGGACCACCGGGTCCATGTCCAGCTACGCGGACGGCTACATGGAGATCGTGATCTCTGCCAATAATTCCGTGACACCTGGCAGAGAGACGAATATCACGCTGAGGATCTTCCTGCTTCGCGACAGGGACATGCTGAAGTTCGTGTTCTCGAGGCCGCCCGTCGAGGTCAGGAAGACCCTGGAGGACTTCGAGAGGGCCGTGCAGCTGGCGCTGTCCCTGCCGATCAGCGTGAACGTCTATGACACACAGTTCTACTCGAAGGAGGACAACTCGTTGGACTTCTCGTCGACCAGCTCCTGCTTCCAGATGGTCGGCAAGGAGGCCTACGACCTGGACGAGATGAAGGCGCTGCTCACGGACCCGAGGAATGAGGAGCTGAAGAAGGTCTACAGGGCCTACCACGTCGAGAAGGTGCAGCAGTGCGCCGCGCTGGTCGCCAGGGCCGACGCCTCGATGACGCAGATGTGGGTCCTGGCGATCGCTGTACTCGTCGGCGTCGCCACCATCGTCTCCAGCTGCGCCCTCTGCTGCATGCATACCAAGTGAGTTTCTTCGGTAGTTCTGGGTCTTCGGTGGAACTTGATTGTTCAAGTCTGCAGGGGTCTTTCTAATCGTGGGGCTAAAGGGGCTAAAAGGGGGCTTTTGCCAACAGGTACAAACGCCAGGTGAAGCACGCAAGGTTGCGGGACCAGCCGCGGCTGCCACTGAGCTACGTCTCTTCAGGCCCAGGAATGGTCAGCGCCGCGTCCCACACCACGCTTGGACCGGGGACCATGGTGTCCTTGGGGCCTCACGAAAGTCCTTACGAATGGGGCGCGGACACTACGCTCTACCATCCTAGCACACTTGAGTCCAGGACCTAGTAGAAGACGCTTATCTCAGGAGGCAACTAATCGTGGATTCACAGACCACTTTTGCTGGTTCATGTTGAACAGTCGCGTCTCTTCGGGGAGTCCCGAAGTTTCGACATACGGTGCATTATTATCGGAGGAACGTTGAGAATTGTTGATCTCAGTGCTATCATTTATCGGGCAGGTTGACCCAGAACTTGCGGTCCGAGACGATTCCTCGGGCGATTCTGAACAACTTTTTCCTTTGCGGGAATGTTCTACGAGGCTTCGTTCTCGAGATATCGACCAAAAACGCGGATTAGTTAGAGCGAAGGCACAGCTGGCGCCCCGCCCCACGCGACCGCCGCCCACTGACGCGGAAGCGCGCGGCGCGGCACTGGCCGCGTAGGCGGAGCGTTGGCCGTACTCGGCCACCGATTGGACCATGTTTATTCGTCGATATTTCGTTAACGGAGCCTCGTAGAACATTTTCGCAAAGGAAAAAGTTGCTCAATATCACGCGAGGAATAAGTTAGACGTTCTGGTACACCCTGTAAAGTACTACGTTCGCACGGAAATCAAAGGAAAGTACAACGATGATCTTATTAACTATACCGCCGGGGTGTCTCATAGATTATTTGAATTTGTCAATGTTTCGAGCATGCTCGATATTCCCAGTGCTATGCCGGACGTTTCTTGAAGTCTTGCGAAGAGAAGACGTGCTATGCCATTGATACCGGTGAGATTTACTGTTAGGTGGAATGGAGATTCGTACTGTTACGTTTCGCGCGTGGAAGCTGGCGGTCGTGTTCGAGAGTCGGCGAAGACAGGAAGGCCGTAGAACACGTTGTCTATTGTAATATGTATTATAGCTGTCCGAGAGGAGGGTGCAATAGCGTCGCGGAATAAGTCACGAGATCGCGGAACGAATCGTGCAACGAAGTCGACGAATGGTGCTATAACGTAAGATCGCCGCGTTCGTGCCAATGCACGGCGACACGTGCGACACGCGGCTGCATTTGCTGGCTGAAGCGGATCAGCTCGCGCGGATTGTATATTTTTTTCTTTTAGACCGTACTCGGATTTCAACTCATACCGGTCGCGACATTATCGTAGAAATGCGGGCGTTTTCTCTTGTAATATATTTAGCAATTAAATAAATTACTAAATAAATCTGCCTTCTGTGTTATCCCCGATCGTTCACCTTCGATGAAAATTACATTTCGATTTGTTGGTCCGAATAAACGTAGTTAAATTGAAATAAACTTTTACATTTTATGAAATAAATTCTGAGAACCAGCATTTTTAAATTTTAGTAATTGAAAGAATTTTAAATTGTCTTGCTGAATTAATATAATAGAACGAATTTCGAAACAATCATTTCGAACAATTGAACTTAAAGAAATTTTAATTCAATTTGTTTAATTAATTTCATTTAATGTAGAGACGATAGAAGAGTTTCGGGATATTATTATACTATTTTTTACTTGTCCCAATGAGTGGAAGAGGAACGACAAAAATCCTCGACCTATTTATAATAATTAATATTATTATGTTATTATATAAACATATTATTAATTAATAATATAATAATATAATAATATAATAATATAATAATATAAAAATATAATAATATAATAATATAATAATATAAGAATATAATAATATAANTTGAAATAAACTTTTACATTTTATGAAATAAATTCTGAGAACCAGCATTTTTAAATTTTAGTAATTGAAAGAATTTTAAATTGTCTTGCTGAATTAATATAATAGAACGAATTTCGAAACAATCATTTCGAACAATTGAACTTAAAGAAATTTTAATTCAATTTGTTTAATTAATTTCATTTAATGTAGAGACGATAGAAGAGTTTCGGGATATTATTATACTATTTTTTACTTGTCCCAATGAGTGGAAGAGGAACGACAAAAATCCTCGACCTATTTATAATAATTAATATTATTATGTTATTATATAAACATATTATTAATTAATAATATAATAATATAATAATATAATAATATAATAATATAAAAATATAATAATATAATAATATAATAATATAAGAATATAATAATATAACAATATAATAATATAATAATATTAATTAATATAAATAGAGACCGAGGATTTTTGTTGTTTATATATGATATGCAATCTATAATTATTATAATTTATAAACTATAAATATTCCATTTTCCAATGGAAACGGTTCGAACCGCACAGAAACGGATAATCGCGGATTCGGCCACGGTATTCGTGGCCTATGAAGCAATCGCCGGATCGTCGAATATCTTTGGATTACACGAGCCGAGATCTTCGGAGAACCTAGACGCCCTCGACGGAAATGTCAAGGCGAGGCGGAGCACCGTAGTTAATTTGATCTCGCGGAGCAGCGATCTGTGAAACAGAAGAAATTCCGAGGGGGCCTCCAGGTGGATTTCTATAATAATGAATGTTTATCGTTGATTAGAATGGTCCGTTCGATATGAGAATGGCGAAAGTATTACATTCCGTTTCGGTTTTATTCATATTGCATGATTACATCGTTTAATATCCTAGAATGTCTAAGAACAGTTCTCGAGCCCGACAAATATTTCAAATGCTAATTAATTTTCTCATTTGGTACACATTGTTTTACGTTCTAACGATTTTTACATNTGATTAGAATGGTCCGTTCGATATGAGAATGGCGAAAGTATTACATTCCGTTTCGGTTTTATTCATATTGCATGATTACATCGTTTAATATCCTAGAATGTCTAAGAACAGTTCTCGAGCCCGACAAATATTTCAAATGCTAATTAATTTTCTCATTTGGTACACATTGTTTTACGTTCTAACGATTTTTACAT